AGCAGCATGGAAGCCCAGAGAAATGATTCTGGGGGTGGAGAGGTTGGGGGATTAGGCTGCACCTCTCACCTGGAGCATACTTTTTAAACCTCTGAGCATCGCCATGCTCGGCTGTGAAATGGAGTTCCTGATATCAGTTGGCCATGAGGCTATGAGAATCACACAGGATCGAATGGAATGATCCCTGTGTGTCAGGACATGCAGCAAATGCTAAACATTAGTTGCTGCTACCACTGTTACTATTACTGGTTATTGTCCTCTTGCAATGGTGGTGGTGATGATGATGATGATAAAAGGGATGGATGATAATTGGTAACTGATCAAATTCTAACTTACTGAGTATATCTCAGGCACAACTTATTGAGCACTAACAACCTGTGGGAACTGACAACAGGTGGTAGAAGAAGGCTGAGCCCAAGAAATTCATTCTGCTCCTTCAATTATGCATCAGTGAGCACTCAGAAAATGTAAAATATCAGCCTCTCTTAACATAGAGCAGCATATGAAACAGAAAGCAAATGGATTTCCTCATATTCCTCTGACACTGCCTTGAGGGGGAGGGAGTCAACTCCTGACCACGCGTGTGGCACAGTTAGGTTTTCCTGCCACGGCTGCACACTGCCAAACCTCGGGAACACCAGCATGCACAGCAAGCCCAACTCCAGAAACTTCAGTGGCCACTTAGCTTAGCACCTCTTTGGCGGAGCTGAGGTCAACACCGCACATTCTTACTCCACAAGCATCTTGAGCTCTGGTCTCAGATTTCCTTGCTTTCCTGAGTTAAGGATAGACTCTTGGGGTTAAGGGACCTGGAGTTGCTTACATTCTCAGAGGCCAAAAACCTTGCTCAAACAAGGAATTACTAATTTGTGGAACCTATGTCAGAGGAGATTTCTCATAAAATAGGCCCCACGGTCACTATTTCATTACCCTTTTTCCAAGGGAGTAAGTGAAATTGTTTTTCTATCCTCCCCCCTCCTCCCCAGTACAGCTACATTGCTTAATCTGAGATACCTGCAGGCATCATGGAGAGTGTTAGTAAAAGTGCTGAAACCAGCTGAGCAAATCCCACCTTCCGTTTGGGTGCTCATAACAGGGCCAGGATTGGGGAGAGAGGTTCTCAAAGAGCAGGATTCTCAGCACTGTGCGCAGCTGGAAACTAATCCTGTGGAGTGAGATGCAATCACCTGGCAACCACGGGCCTCCCAGCACCCTGCGTTGCTGATAGCTGGTGGGACAACCGAGGTGGTTACTCCTTTAGAAACACCTTCACGCTTAGTGGACCCTTCCCACCTCTTTATTACATCACTGTGAACTTTGGTCTTGGGATTGGCGTTCTGATGGTTAGCTCTGATGTAACCACAGGTATAGCTTAATAAATTGGGGCCAAGCATTCATATTTGGTTGTTTCGCTGCCTCTGGATTTGAGGATCAAATTCCCTCATATAATCAATCTCTCAATCTTGTGTGTGTGTGTGTGTGTGTGTGTGTGTGTGTGTGTGTGTGTGTGTGTGTGTGTGTGTGATGTGTCCTGTCTCTCCCTCCCTTTTTCCTCTCTCTCTCCTCATGGCCCATACACCCCACATTCCCCCCTGTCTTACCAAATAAAACTTCAACACTAAGTACTATTTCCAGGTCTGAAAATAGACATTCTGCCAGCCAAGAATTTATCTGATTGAGGTCTCTGTTGCATGATTAGGTCAAGGTTCCACCTACACTTTGCCAGCACACAGTGAAGTAACATTTCACATCAACTAATTGCTACACATACAAGCAAGTGGCCTTCTTAGCACCTAGCCCAGAAAAGCGAGGCTCACTGGAGGCTACAGTCTCATACCTTGGCAAAGAACAGTGCCTGCACACAAGCTTTATGAAGTTTGTTTAGCTCACTTCAAACATTTTATTTTAAATAAATCATTCAAACCAAACTTAATTCTTTTCTCTTGGAAATGAAGAAAGAATGTCCCAAGTTATTAAAAGACAGAAATACTTTTCATACTTTCTTTGGGTCAGATTTTAAGAGGATTCTATCCCCAGATTTTGATGGACCAGTTACTACTAGTAGTACTGGGGACATTTATTTCTGCATTCCCTTAGGCTGTTTTCCTGGGCTGGCATGCCTAGAATTCCTGACCAAAATTGCCAACTGGCCAATTTTGCCCACCAGAGAACATCTACCAATGTCTGAGGACATTTTTGGTTGTCAGAACTTTGAGGAGAATGGTGCTGACTTTTCCTGGACAGAGACTCAGACGCAGCACAACCCTGCACTGTACAAGACAGCCCCTGCCCTCACAGCTGAGAATTGCTGGCCAACTCTTAGGAACGCTAATGGTGTTAGGAACCTGATGGTGTGTGCACCTGAAGGAGAGAAAGGCACACAAAGAAATTGTGCTTTCATAAAGTATAAGTCAACCATTTTTATTTGTAGAAAACCTCAGTCTTAGTTTGTGGCTTTGACCTCGGTTCCTCCAATTTAGAAACTCATTCATCGGAAGAGTTCTCCTTACTGGCCAAGTAGGAAAAAATAAGCCAAAAGGTTTGCGCTGGATTTTGGATATAATGACAGAGGAATTTCAAAGTAGGAGGTCTTTAGGCCACAGCTAAAGGACATCAGAAGGAGCCTACCTGCATGTATTATGAGAATTTGGGCATTGTTTAAAACATTGGAAGTCATCCCATCTCCTAACTCGATCTGAACAAATGAGCCTCGCCAAATAGTGATGGAAGAACTGCTGGAGAGCAAGAGAGAGTAAACAGATGGAAAGAACACCAAAGGAAATTGAGAAACAGCCATCCGATGATATAATTTAGATTTGGATGGAGAACCACATGCCTGGGTTCTTCCAGCTCTGACCTGCTCCATGCAGGTGCAGAGTCCATGGCCCCTGGGTGCCCTTCCAGCTGGGTGGCTGCTTGCCTGCCAATTACCTTGCTCTGGAATAGAAGTCATGGGCTTGTGCACATGTTCAAGACAACACATTACTTAATGCAGTCAGTTCAAAGCTGCTTCTTCATCTTTCTATTCTTTTCCTTCTCATTTTTCCCCTTCCTGTTCTGGATATGGAAATAGGGGTTTCTGTCTCTCAATCGATTATGTCTTGATTCCAGTGACACAAAGTCAAAGAAGTCAGGAATCGGGCTGTTTCTGCAATAGTCCACCACATGTTTTTAAGAAGCTGGTAAGTGGAGATCCTACCTGACACTGTGATAGGTGCTAGAGCTAATGCAAACTGGGTTAACTGGGAGCCATTGGAAGTCCTTATGAGAATTGCTTCTGCTTCCATTGGGAGACACTTCATGGAGAAATGCAATCATCTCCACTGGCATGGACACAGAAGAAAACTCCATCAGTATAGTCCCAACTCCGCTCATCCAGAAAGGAACAGAGCTGAAGGCAACCTCGGAGTCACCCATAAACACGGTTTCCTCTGAGGGTCTCTGGGAGGGTCATTAAATGTAATGGTTTATACACATGCCTTGACTCAACTGGCATTTTAATCAGAGCTAATTCCTCTTCCTGCGTTATTCCTGGATGCCACTAAGTCCTACTTCGCTGGCCTCCTTTGAGTTACTTCATAAACATCATTAACTTTAGAAGAAAGCTCTGGTATTAAATCTACAATTTTCATTCATCCAACCAACACTTACATTTGGGGTATACTTATTTAAGAGATCCTTGTCCCTAAAAATATTGCTATTTAATACACAGAAGTTAGTAACACAGAGGTATTTCAAAAAGTTCATGGAAATGCTTTTAAAAGATTACTTGGCTGCAAAAAAAGCAAGTGAAGCCCATGCCTAACTTTTTCATTCTATATGTTTTTCATAAATTTTAAGTCCTTTTGCATGGATATCAAAATCTTTTTGCCTTGAATTAATACCTCAATCCATGTTTCCATGAACATTATTAAGTGTCCTTTTACATATACTTATGTATAAAAACAGCATATACTTTATATGAAACAACATATTCATACATGTATGTGTCTGTGTGTGTCTGTGTCTATAATGACCATAAATATCTATTGTCTGAAAATTCTGACCAATAGAGGAAAGAGGAAAAATGAGAGATTGAATTATTTCTCAGAAATGTAAACTCTAAATGTAAACTCTAAAGGTAAATGCAAGAACAAACCTGTTTTCCCTGAGAAAGCTGCTTCAAAGCCACCTCTCTAAGTCTCACTGGCTCACAGACCAAGAAACTTTCTAGCCAATTTCATGGTGTAGTTAATCCTGCTCATCATACATGGGAACTAATTTGACAGTGACACCACTAATTCCCCCACCCCCTCTTCAATGAAGCACTTTGGAAAACTATTTCAAAGGTCGGACTGATATCGTAATTTGCCAATAAGTTTAGGTCTGTGTCTACATGTGGGGGTCAGTGTGAAACCCAGTAACACGCTATGTCTGTCTGATTTCCATTGTGGTCTCAGATGGCTTTCAGAATAGACAGATCATGTTTAGAAAGAACCTTCAAGAACTTAGCAAACAATAACAACACAGGAAAACCACGAACAAATAACCCTTTGTTTTCTGCTGGCCATCAGCAATGTTGTATGTGCCATGTCAAGTGATCCAGTGCAGAGGTGGAAGTAGAAAGGAGGAAGTGCAGTTATTGGATTTTATGATGAGAGAAATGAAATCCCTTCCAGATTAGGTATAATGTGTGGTCTCACTGGATGTCATTATCCAAGCAACACTGACTGTAAATGCTATTAGACTAAAATGCCCATGAAGTTACTTGGCCCTTTTAAAACCTAATCAGACCATGTATCTTCCTAATTTTTCACAGGAACAAATTCTGATAAAGATATCTAACTCTGTTTCAGTTGTGTTTTGTGAGAGAGTTACAAATAACTTGAAGTATCGTTGAGAAGGTGGCACGGCCCTATCCTATACCTAAGGAATTAAAATGTGCTGAAAATTCATACCACTATTTTACCATAACAGGCAAAACAAATATGAATAACACGCTTTCAAAGAAATAAACTTACTTTCAGTACAAATAGGACAGCATCCTTTTCTGTTGAGAATTTTACCCTAATTGAGAGAAAAACAAAACAAAAACAAATTGAAAAGTTAGTATTAAGAAGCAGAGCCTGCTGAGGACAGTTCGCCTCTTTTAAAATCTAATACCAGATCAACCAATGAATCCAAGCTGTATTTGAACTCAATGACCAGATGGCAATGGTGATGGTGAAAATGAAGTTTCCAGTATCAGGTTCTAAGGCCAGGCAAAATCACTCAGGAAGCTTTCCTGTTTTTATTCTCTGAGAAATATAATAGCTAGAGGACTCATTGGTGTGATTTTTCTCACATGGAAGGAAGATGAAGACAATCTGGACCCGACTTGTTGCTGCTATCCAGTGGAGCCCCTGGAGACCAAATGCACACACAAGAATGGAAGCTATCTGCCAACTATTGATGTGGACAAGGTCGTCTTTCTGTCTTCACTGGCTGGAGGTGCTGAAACAATAAACTGTAATCCAAGTTCAGGAGGCATCCGCTCCTACGGAGACAGGCAATATCTGTGCCACAGATCAAATTCAGTCGGGTTTCTTCTCTCAGGTGGCACCCTATCTATCCGCAAGAAGTCACTGTTACAGAATTATGTCAAAGACATTGAAGCTGAGTCATTTTCCATTACCGTGCTGGAAATAAGTGCAGTTTCCTCCACTGCGTGGGCTTTCTCTCTGTCTTGCTCTTTTTATGCATGGCATTTAAAGGAGGAAGTATATTCTCAGAATCTTTTTCAGCGAATGCCATTGTCTTATCTCTGAGTCAATGGTTAATGGTAAGATTCATGTGCAAGAAATTTCACGTTTAGAGAATGTTAGCTACACAACATCTGACTAGATATTTGACCTATATTGCTAAAATCAGATTAGTTAGCAATGACTTACTTACAACAGATTATGGATTAATGAAAAAAAGATGATAATAATAGTTGTTCTTATGAAGTATAATAATTTCATGAGCTGAGTATTTCCCTTGATAGAGATGAAGGGACTGACGCCATGCAACACTGAGTGATGGAACCCCAAATCAAATCTGTGTGACCTTAAATGCCATCTTTTTCCCACTGCTCATTTCTTTCCTCTTAAGTTCCTTCTTTACCTTTAAGAAAAAGCGTTAGTTATTGAGCGTCTGCTATATATTAGACAGACTGCCACGTACTCTTTATACTTTATCTTGTTAAACTGCAAAATAACCTTTCAACAGCATGAGTCCTTTAACTTTTAATAGAGAACTCAGAAAAGAAAAGCCACAGAGGGGTTGCCAGAAGCTCACACACTAGTCATTCACTCATTCTTAACTGATCAGCTGCATCATGGGTACTCGATAATATGTTATTAACTAAAACAAACAAACAAACAAAAAACCTGGTGAGGGGTGGCCAGGTGGCACAGGAGGGAAGTTCTTTACTTCTGCACACTTCAGATGCCTGCATTTTGTCCTGGAGGGCTTGTTTTGAATCTTGGCTTCTTTCCTTCCAATGCAACTTCCTGACAACCTTGAATGCAGCAGTTGAGGTCCCTGCCTCCTGCATGGGAGACCTGGACTGAGTCTGGGCTCCCAGGCTGGGTCTAACCCAGTCTAGCTGTTTCAGACATCTGAGGAATAAACCAGCAGATCTCTTTCCATCTGGTGCTCTCACCTTCTCTCTACCACTCAAACTTTCCGATAAAATGAAAATAAATCAAATTTTAAAAAGTGACATTGGTTAACTGTAGAAGAAATAGAATAAAAACTGATTGGTTTTTATATCAGCGAGGTCTAAAACGGTGCACTGAAATTCTGTGATAACCTGCGGACAGACAGAGGGAGGTGATGGTGAGGATAGAGGCAGGGGAGGGGCAAAGATGAAATCCTAAGCTGATTTTTTTAAAAAGCTGTGATGGCTTTTGGAATGGGATTTCAAATCCAGCTGCATTCAATCAGCCAATAATTCGGGGGCATCATGACCTGTTTTCATTGTCGGAAGCTCAGTTATTTATTTCTATTGGCTCAGAGGTCGCTTTTCATTTCTCACAACTGAACACAGTTGAGGACAAATCCAAATGAGGTCAGCTTGGGCCTGCAGCATGATGGTCTCAGGAGGATGGGACGAAATGTTCCAGCCCAGTGTGGTGGAGCTATTAAAACCAAGGCCCTGACCACCTGTGGCTATCATGCCTCCATCACAGCAGATCCCCTGCCTCCAAGAAGAAAATCAAAGACGTAGTATCACTAAGTTAGATGGAGAATAAGTCAAGTGCATGAAGCTAGAGCACCTGCATCATGAGAGATTCCATATTTGGAGGGCTTGCATCCGCAAGAAGACTGTTGGGGGTGGTTACGTGCTGCAGTATGTTGACTCCCGAACCACACAGGAACGTGTCTAGGTTTGAGTCTCAGCTCAGCTTCCAATTCCAGCTCCTAGTGTTGACTCAACTAATTTTGTTCTTGCCACTCACATATGAGACCCAGACCGATTTCTAGGCACTTGGTTTCTCAGTCTGACCCAGGCCCAGCTCCTGCAGGCATTTGGGGAATAAACCAGCCTATGGAAGAGTTCTCTCTCTCTCTCTCTCTCCATTTCAAATAAAATGAAAATAAATTAAGAGATAGTCTAGTTGCAGCACTCAACCCAAAAAGGTAGTTTCAGCATTAAATTAGATTAATTCTTAAAAAAAAAAACATTTATTTTTATTGCAAAGTTGGTTATACAGAGAGGAGGAGAGATATGGAGGAAGATCTTCTGGTGATTCACTCCCCAAGTGACCACAATGGCCGATGCTGCGCCAATACGAAGCCAAGAGCCAGGAACTTCCTCCAGGTCTCCCATTCGAATGCAGAGTCCCAATGCTTTGGGCTGTTCTTGACTGCTTTCCCAGGCCACAAGCAGGGAGCTGGATGGGAAGAGGAACTGCCGGAATTAGAACCAGAGCCCATATGGGATCCTGGCATGTGCAAGGCAAGGACTTTAGCCACTATGTCACTGCGCCAGGCCCTAACAGATTACTTCTATTGCCACAAAGTCCCAGTACAAGGGAACATGATAAGCTTATTTGAGTGAAAATATCTGAAAACCCCACATTGTGGGTTTTTTGTTGTTGTTGTCTGTTGGTTTTTAGATTTATTTATATTGACTATAAAGCCAGATACACAGAGAGGAAGATCTTCCATCCACTGGTTCACTCCCCAAGTGGCAGCTACAGCCAGAGCTGAGCCGATCTGAAGCCAGGAGCCTCTTCCGGTCTCCCACACAAGAGCAGGTCCCAAGGCTTTGGGCTGTCCTCCATGTCCTCCACTGCTTTCCCAGGCCACAGGCAGGAAGCTGGATAGCAAGTAGGGCCACCAGGATTAGAAGCAGTGCCATATGGGATCCCTGCATGTGCAAGGTAAGGACTTTAGCCACTAGGCTACTGTGCCGAGTCCTGTGGCTTGGTTTAATAATAATTATAATAATGAGCATTTTCCACACATTCTTTAAAGATTCCTCCTATTAGCAAAAGTGAGGTGACAGTGTCATGGTGACCTGTCCCAGTGCCCTTTGGAGCTCTCAAAGGCTTTCTTACCAATAACACTGGGGCAGGGGCCAGGGAAGGCTGACACAGATTCCAACTGTAAAATGCTTCTTCAACAAAACTAACATACTTCTGGAAAAAGAGATATGTAGCAGCCAGGAAGGATGGAGCGGAGAACAAAGAAATTGCTTCTATTTTTTTTTTTCTTTCAGTTTCCCTCAGGCGATGGAGGGGAGGGGAAAGCGATTCTTAAACAAGATTTCCACAGCACAGCTAAGCTACCTTCCAAAGACTTCGTGCTGGCCCCTGAGGAGGGAAAGTGAAGCAGGGGATACTCAGAGTGGTGTTCTCCGAGACAGGAGCCTTGTCAGGGACGCTGGGGGCTTCGACACGGCAGCTCCTGGCCTCCACAAGGTCCACAGAGGAAAGAAGGCTAATGAGATGCTGCTGCCACAAACAGTACCGACCCCCTGCAGCAAGGGGACAATGAAAACCATCAACCAGCAACAAGTGGCAGAACTCAAGTGGAGCTGGCAACCCCACTCCGGCCTGCCAAGGCTAGTTACTTGAGCCACCAGGCTGGCAGGGCCTCCTGTTTTTGTCTTGTAGAATAAGGAAGCCCATTATGACTAACATGTGTGGTAAGAGTTCATTAGCAGGCAGGGTTCCCCAAGGACCAGCTTAAACGATGTATCCTATTTTTCCCAATGAATATTTATAAGCAGCCCATGTTCAAGTCTACTTACTGTATCTCCCCCCCTCCACCTTTTTTGATTTGTTTTGTTTTACTGGAGCTTTTCAGTTTTTTGTCTGAAGCTTTTTAAAGCAAGACTAATTAGGGATTTTTCTCCTTTTTTCTTCCCCCTCCCCCGCTTCATTCAGTTGTGCAATAGCAACAGCTGTTGTTTTTTTGAGCCTCATTTGGCACTCAAGAAAAAACAGCAACTTTTTGTTTATAATAATAGCAGATGTGAATAAAATTAAAAGCTGTCTATAACAGAGAAGGGAGTACATGTTCTGAATATATGGATCAATTCTTTTTTCATTCACTGAAAGGTACTGAATAGGTTTGACATTTTCCCAAAATGCAGAAAGCCTTCAAAGGTTTCGAGTTGCCAAGGTGAAGGGGGCCTGTGCATTAAGAAAGAATGGCTGCTTCGTGTACCACGTGTCCCACGCTGCAACTACAGGGTTCTGAAAAGACACATTTCCAGCAGACACTGTTTCCACGGGAGGCTAGAGTGGAGGCCGGGGTCACAGAGACAGAAACTTGAGCAGAGGGGGCAGGGTTGCTGCTGGGCAGAAGAAAGCCCCTGGGGAATTTATTAACAAACAGCCACGGCTTTACTATAATTCTTAGAAGAAAGGTCTGGTTTGGGAAGGGAGGAGAAAGAATGTAAAGGCTCAAGTTGTTAAAGTTGTTAACAGGAGACCCAGCAAAGGGAACAGGAAAGAGCAAATCTAATAGGAACAAAAAGCAAAGCAAGAGATGTTTCACACCAGGCCACACTCTGGGCAGGAATTATCAAAACAAAGGTGCAAACTTTGCATGGGGCCTCTGGCCTCTGGCCTCTGGGAGAGGATGATTCTGCATTTGGAAGATATGTGAAGATAGTACACACACACACACACACACATACACACACACAAGGGATGGTTTCCAATGGGTTTGAACAGACTGAGAGTCCACCTGTATTGCAAGCATACCTGAGGGCAGCTGCTGATGGGAACACACTGCTTCCTCCGACATTCCGTTTTGCCTCTCACACAAGCACAGATGGTGCAGTTGACAGAGGACCACATCTCGCCATCCTGCAGGAAAGAGCACAGGACACTGCAATCAGCTGGAAGCTGCCAGTGGCTGAGCCAGGAGGCTGTGATTTCTCATCCTGAGTGAGGGATGCCATCCTGGCACTAGGTGGCTCTGGGATTTACATCCAGTCATTGTAAGGAAAAGCCTGGGGAGGAATTCCGGGGGCGGGTGTGAGCCCTCTCTCTGCGATATAAAGAGAATTCGTATGTCCAAGTCACATTTGGATCTTACGTTGAATGCTTTATGTACTCAGTTTCTCCCTGTAAAAAACAAAGCATGCATTCTTATGCGTGTCACAACAACACAATTCTAATCTTCCTCTCTTGGATACAACTATGATATTTCAGCTACTTCTGGCACCAGCAATTAATTGAGATGTCCAGAGACACTTCACCTATACCCAGAGCTATCAAAGACATGCAAAGGATGGTGACTAATTCAAATGACTCCTGGTGCCCAGGCTGGCATCTAATCAGCAAGAAGATTAGAAATACAGAACCATGCCTAGCACGCTCTTACCAAAAAAATGAGGTAGCACTTCGGGCCACATTTCCTGCCCGAGACCCTGACCCAGACAAAGAGAGTTATTAAAGGAATCTTCCGGTGTATTGGGTTTACAATCTGCCATTGTCAAAGGCGCAGTCACAGGGTTCCCTTATACCTCAAGGGAATAAGCAGTGATGTGCATTCTTGCTTATAGGGCAGGGGAAAAATGCAACATTGCAAACAACACAGTGAGTCCTGACAGCAAAACAAGAACTCCTTCCTAGGATTTCCACACAGGAGAGCTTGTCAAAAACAAAGCAGTTTCAATCTTTGATGATGATAGCTCATCTTTCTCTTCCTTGCTCTTCAAGGATAGTCGGCCTTCTGGATTTCTCATGTGAGGAAATCCTGCCTGATTCTGTCTTCAAGGGTACCTGACTGTTCGATCTCTAAGTACACAATTGTAGAACTCGGTGTCTCCTAAGTCATCCCAACCTCTGCTACTTCAAGTTCTACAAGATGACTGTGAAGTCCTTTGCACAAACCAGAAGCTGGCTTTTCTATAAAGAGAATGAATGAATGTTTATGGAAGCCTGGAGTCAACACAACCCACATGTGAGTGCCCAGCACTGGGGAGAACACACTGTGTCTCTGCCAGCTCCCGAGGAAGGGTACATCTACCATCGACCATATATCTATGTCCCAGGGCAGCACACCTGGTGACCCTGCCCAATCCCCGCGGGCATCACAGATGCCATTTGGCAGTACAGTTAACCCTTCAACCTTCAGGAAACAGACTTGATGGGCAGCACTTTGGGACAAAACCAATGACTGCATCCTGAAATTTAAGTGACCATGGCATAGCTTCCCACTGTCAGAAAATCACATAGGGCACGCTGGAGACATGTCAGGTGGACAACGGAAAGTCCTATGCCTCCAGGTCGTGGCGGGGGCAGGCGCAGGGCTTCTGTCACTTTACTCCAACTGCTGTGTTAGTCACAGACACCACGAACATCTCCCCCTGAATATCTTCCCAAAAAAGAAAATGTCTCTGCAGAGGTGACTTTGTGAAAAGTTAGCCAAAGTAGCACACTGTATATCCTTCAGCATCTCAATGAGAGTCAGCGTGACAAGTCACACTGAGCAATATCAATGAAAGAGACGCTGCTGGCATTTGGGTGTCCACAACCACGCCAAGGGGACATGTTCCACTCATTCCTTAACCACTGGCTGGAAAAGTGAAATTAAGGTCTACAGGTTTGAAATAACAAAAAGGAAAGCCAATCAGCTGTTTCTCTGCCTGTATCTGTACTTGATTCTAAATATATGTGCTTATATTATGACTATTCTTATATATGGTACATGGAACACTGTGTGAGTATACATGTGTGAGGAATGACCCAAGCTTCATTGTATCGGAATGGAATACATTGCAGTAGTGCCCAGCAACTGGCTCATGGCATACCCGGAAAACTTTGTTGCCAAACTTGCACACTTTGATGTCTTCCGGGGGCACTTGAAGGAGACACTCCTCACAGCAGGGCTCCAGGCCTCGGTCACAGCTGCCGGGATGAGAGCACTTCTTCTTACATACCACAGTGGAGTCCTGGGGGCCGAAGGCAAGCCATAAGTTAAAAACTGACTTTATCTCTACCAAACATCCTATTTAGCCAACCTTGTATGACCCGCCATTAACTGCCTTAAAATTCAGGGTGTAGATACCATATTTTTTTTTAAAGATTTATTTTCATTATTTTTTTTTTATTGGAAAGGCGGATATACAGAGAGGAGAGACAGAGAGGAAGATCTTCCGTGTGATGATTCACTCCCCAAGTGAGTGCAATGGCCGATGCTATGCCTCTGAAGCCAGGAGCCTCTTCCGGGTCTCCCACGCGGGTGCAGGGTCCCAAAGCTTTGGGCTGTCCTTGACTGCTTTCCCGGGCCACAGGCAGGGAGCTGGAAGGGAAGTGGGGCTGCCGGGATAGAACCGGCACCCATATGGGATCCCGGGCGTGCAAGGCGAGGACCTTAACCACTTGCGCCACCGCGCTGGGCCCTAGATACCATATTTTTAACATTCATTTCAAAACGTGATTGGCTGGTTCAATATCTGGACTAGACTAAGAAGCAGCTCGGGGAATGCGGAGTATCTGCCCTACCTTCCCAGTGTTTGCAACTTCACGCTCAACAGATTGGTGCACCTGCTGTAGCTAGCCTGAGGCAAGCTGGCCCAGCTCCCTCTGGGTATTCTTCCTGCCTTTGTTTCTTTCAGGCATTACTTAACAGTTTTTTCTTGGACCTCCTCCACAGGTTTATGATTAAAAATTTTTTCTGAACCAAAAACAAACTCACTGTTTAATTCTATTTTTCCAATAATCATGTTTGTGTGTGTGTATGTGTGTGTGAGTATGAGAGAGAGAGGCTGGTGTTCTGATCCCTAGCACTGGCTACAGTAATGGGAATACAGACACAGATAAGCATACTGTTGTTAGAAAGAATCTCAGAGTATAACAGTGTAACTTCACAAACAAATAAACTGTAATAAGACATGGAAAATACAACTGGTAAAGGTACAGAAGTAACAGAGACAAAAGGCTAATTACCTATGTAGGTCTTGGGGAAACCCTTCAGCAGAAGGGCCAGTAAATAAAAGTTGTTGTGGGGAACAGTAGAATTTGATGATTAGATTTAAAGAAGGTAAGGGTTCTGCAAGTTGAGAACTTCCAAGAGCCAAAGGCATGGACATCTAGAAACAAATTATATCCAGAGACCTTCCAAATGGTTTTCTGTACCTACCATGTAAATCATGAGGAACTGTGGCAAAGGAGACTGGTGAGGGATGTTCTAAATAGACAGAAAATGATGCCCACGTCCCCCAGCCAAAAAACAAAACAAAAAACATTGCAGCCTGATCCTGCTCCAGGCATCCATCCTCCAAAGATGCCTGAATTCATAGTGTGACAAAAACAGCCACTTGAAGGGAAAGCATTAATTACACTTCTTGCTGGGCACCGAGACATACTGCCTAACGTTCTCCAATGGAATTCATGAGACCCGAAGCACCGCAAGGGAAACTAATTCCCATTCATGGGATGTCTGGCTTCCAGGCAATCAAAAAGACTGGGAACGTGTTTTCATCCGAGGCTCAGAATCCCTGAGAAGAAACTGTAACCTGTACAATTCCTAGTGGGAAAGAGAAGGCCTAAGGATGAAGGCCAAGTGAAACATGAGGAATTGTTCTATTTGAACATAGGATAATGCAAGCCCCTGTACTCTCTGACTCCGTAGTCGGTGCTGGGGAAGAGGTGACTCGGCGCTGGCCCAGCCACCCCTCTGAAGTGTGTGCATGCCTTGGATAATCACTTCTGAACTTCTGAACTCTAATCCCAGCTACTGACTCACAGCTGACACAGAGCAAGGCTCTTCTTCCCTCTCTTGCCCTTTAGCTCTTAAAAAATAAAGCCAGCACCATCATCACCCACATCTATTATTCTAAACTCATGTCACCCATCTGTGTGGCTTATCTCGATGACGAGTGATCCTGAAGTCTTCCATGATAAATGCTTTTCTTCTTGGCTTCCAACATAAATCACTGCATAAGGACTGTGTGTGTGTGATACGTGTTGCATATAATTCTGGGGTTGTGGAATCCTTTCCTTACTAGCAGTCACAGCCATCCATTCGTCTGTTGACAAGCAGGCAGTCTCTCAAGTAAGAAATGACACGATGGATGACACATAGATGCATCTTCCCCTAGGTTTATTTCTGGGACAATCCATACACGCATGCTTTGCTTTTCTCTTGAATGTGACTGAGGCCATTTTTATTGCTAGGTATGGGATAGAATTCATCTTGGATCATTAGAACTAGAGAACACTGAGGACAACCTTTCTGAGTTTGGTCCTCAACCCCGGCAGCTAGCTGTTGGTCCTTAGAAAATGACAGTGAGTTATAAAGTGCAGCCAAACATACAAGCATCTTTATGCTCCTGAGTACCATTTCGTTTCCAATGAGGCATCCTCTCAGTCGGTACCGTATTATCATCTGTTAAAGAGAAAACCCAAACCCTTAGCATTGTTGGGCCACAGAATCTACAAGCCACCTTACCCTGCAGGTGCATGCTGTGCAGTTATCATAGAGAAACGAGGATCCATTGTCATAAACGTCACTGCGGAAGAGGCAGCTCCCAGAAGGAAGGTCAAACACCTTCCTCTGACCTGGAAGGAAGCCAGAATACAGTGTAAGCAAGACAGCAAGAAGCCAGGGATGTTCCATTTTCTCATCCGCAGTTACATCACAAGATGTTAAATATCCCCACAAGACTACGCAGGCACAGTGCACAACAATAAAGTCTTGGGTCGCTTCTACCTTAGAGACTCCCAGGGGTCATTAATTTTGTGGAGAATTGCTGTTAAAAAGACTTTAATTCTGTGGTGAATCCTTTAAGATCTATAATTCATTTTGCGTTCACCATGGTGAACTAAGATTGACTTAGACACAGGGCACTCTCATTGATCATAATCTACTGATACTCACCAAAGTTCTTTGCAAAACAAGAAAACAGTAAGCTCCAGAAAAGAAGCAAATCTGGAGGCTAGAAGATTTATTGCAGAACAAAATGCCTGAGCTACATCTTAAAAATAGGCAAGCTATGCTAACAAGAAGGTGAGTAAAGGTAGGAATAAGACAGCCAAAGAAGAACTAAAATGAGCAAAATGTCCTATTGAAACACCATCTGCATGGCCACCGCCAAATTCTTATGTTCAAATCTAATCAGCAATAGGACTGCACTAGGAGCTGGACCTCTGGAGAGTTATTACATTATGTGGGCACAGCCTTTATGCAACAGACTCCTGCCTCATCAGAAAGGCCCAGAGAGAGGCTTTCCTCCCTTCACTGCATGAGGACACACAACAAAGGCACCTTCTCTAAGTAGGCCCTCATCAGATACCGAATCTGCTAGCATTTAGATCTTCCCAACTTTCACAGCTCAGAAGTAAATTTCTGCAGCTGTGGCAGCCAAAACAGAATAAGACAGGATCTCAGCTAAGAAGCTATAAATGCATGAAGTATGAAGTTAACACAAAGGGTACCTAAGTGACATGACACAACTCTTCATGCCAGGTGTCCAAGGTTTTGCAGGCGATGCATCTCTAAAGGCCTAGCTTACATTTTCCTGATTTGAACATTAGATGAGTGATCAAAAGAATCATGTAAGCAGCCCCCAAGAAGGAATACAATCCAACTGCCTCTTTCCTTTCAGCATTTGAGCTTCTACTCCCTAAGGTACAACAAATCATCACGGAAATGTTACTTTAATTAAGTACTACATTAAGAAGCCAAGGATTCATGGTCACTGATTGAATTTACATCCAAACTTCCTTTATTGTAAAAAGATTAAGAGCAATTTCTGTTTATCAGCAGGCCCAAAGAGATGATGAAGATAACTGAACACACACTGAATGGTCTCTGAGAATTACAGTTGTTGGAATAACCATTAGCAAGAGTCAAGAAAATACGTTATCTATGAGAGTCAACCTCAAGGCCAGGATGCAACACAGACATAACCTAAACTTTAGGAGGACAGTGAGTTATATTTAGGGTCCTGTGATGGACTCTCTCATGACTTCAACCATGGTTTCTCCAAAGTACACTGACTTAACTCAAGAAACAGCATCAACAATACTTCTGCATCCTATCACCACCTCTAGAGTATATAACCAAAATTCATGGTTAGATAAACTTAACGTAATGACTGTGAATATCCAAAGTAACACAGGTATTTTATAGGCATTTTACATGTAAATCCAGGATCTGTGTCTCTTGGATTTCCTAACAAGTTACATGTTATGTTGAACAATTATTTGCAAAATACAAAATTCATCTTTTCCCAAAATATTCCTCTAAAGTTACAATGAAGTATTAGAAAGCTGTGGGTAACACAAATCATATGGATTTAGCTGATCCCATTAAAGTAATTTCTGTCAAATAAAGCTAGTTTTAGGACACTACAGCAAAAGAAATATCACCAAGCAGGAATGTTTTTATATTTACTATAAAAATGATGGTGAGGCCATTCTTCACTACTTTAAATATTACCTCAATTTTTATGAATTTACCAGAATTTTATTTAAGCTCTTAATTCAAAAATAGCTCTGCTTCAGCACTTTTTCTTAATTGTGAAAACTTGGTTTGCCTTTTTTCCTATCTTGCATGCATATGTGCTGTTTGTATTTTGTAAATTGCCTTGAATCTCTTTTGGCAAAAGATAAGTAAACACACCACTACAAAGCTCTACAAACCTTCCTTCTCTGCCAATCAGAACACATCCCCTGAACGGCTGACCTGCACATGCATCGCCTCCTTGGAGGCCCTCACACCTCTCGGGATGAACGGCCTCTTCCTCCTGTGCTCCCTTTGCCTACTGCTTGCGTGGTCCACGTGATGTTCAATATGGCTGTAAGGTGGATGAGTGCATCTATCCCTGCACCAATTCACTTATCACATGACGAAGCGACAGAATCCATTGTGTTTATCCCCAGAACAAAGGTGGACAATGGCTTTTGTCTCACTGCAGCAGTGCCTGAACTTACGGATAAATAGCTCACAGTAGGGCGCCTGGCCCTCACTAGCAATCCCGCATAGATGACTGGTAATTTTTCATTACTCGTGGTGACATAATTCAAATGTAGTGCTGGCTTTTAAGAGAAATGGCTGTGATTATTTGAGTTTTGATATGCATTCAAGATCATCATACACAAAAGAGAGTTTATTCTTAAATAAGCATGTTCTCTCTAACAAAGAAATAAAAACATGATCCTGGCTGTATCACCTTGAGAGGTGGGTCCTGGCACTGTCCTATGTATGCTGGCCACCAATAAGATTCCTTATTGAACATGAACATGTGTGACAAATCCTGAGCAAGGAAAAAATGTTTAAGAGCTAATCAGTGCCCAATCAGTCCAAAGGCTAATTAGTCTAAGATTTCAATGTCTAAAAAAGCACCCTAGCATTTGCTTTTTTTCTTTTGGTCTTTTGTTATATAGGCATGTTTCTTTTTACTTCCAAAGAACATAAAATCTCACCTTAATCCAAAAGTCATCATGGTCCAACATAAAACATTCAAGGGAGTGGCTCAGCAACTCTGTGGACAGTCTGATTTAAGCCATTCCCACATCATTCCTCTGAGGTTTAACCCAACCCAAGAAGGTCTTATTTGGGGGGAATTATGATTTTCAAAGTTTCCCAAAACTTACACTGCCTTTTATAGCCTATCTTATAACCACAAATGAGCAGAAATCCTGTATCCAACACAATGGCAGTTGTTCATGTGGGAAACGTCTGAACTGACTCAGCAAGTTCACAGAAATCGTTTCAAAGCATTCACCAAGCCTGCCCATCTCTAGGGCTGGGGCCAGACCCAAATGCCACCTCTTTTGCAATGGCTTGACCACTCAGAACCCTTCTGGCACCATCACCCACCCAGCACTACAGTACGTACGTATCATGCCAAAGTGGCCACCTATTCTCCAGGAACACAAACACATTCCAGAAAACATACCCAGGAGTGGAACTGTCTCACCAGGTGTGTTTAAATACTCTTGCATTGTTTCATGTGTACAGCAAGAATGGTGCATGTGTGTGAGCTTTCTCAAACTTCATATTGTCCATTTGTTTTTTGTTTTTTTTTCCCATAGTTGGAGAGATGTAAGGATGCAACTATGGAACTTTGGCAAGGAACAAACCAAATCAATGGACATTCTGGAGTTTGAAAAAGCAATCGTGAAAGAAAAGAGACAATGTAAGGGTATTAACAGTAACTGACAGGGAATCAAACAGAACAATCAGCGAAAATCTCGCAGGAGCAAAACCACTGACACCTGTTGAGGACAAGGAACTGCCTAGCCTACTTTGTCATGTTCACTATGCTTCTGTGTAACAATCCTCCTTAGTGGCTGCAAACCTCCAGGAGCGTCCATTACCCAAGACTTGACACAATGGCACCTTAGGGTGTGCAAAGACTGAAGGGAAGCTGTCTCTGAAAGGATAAAATAATGTTGAAAAGGAGAGCAAAAAGCAGGACAGAGCAGAGACCAAGAGGAACCGTTGGAGCAGAGGCGCCAAGCCAGAGGTGACTTAGGAAAGTGCTCACCACGCCCTTCCACAGACCCACGGAGACTCTAGAGGAACACCCCGTTCTCAGCACACCCCCATTCTTCATGGGAACCTTGGTTCAGCAACCGTAGTTCAGAGCTTCTTAACAGCATTAAGTGGGGAAAAACATACAAAGTGGTTTTAGAGCAGTGCCTATGACATAGGAATATTAAATGCTCAATTAGAAAGACCTCACATTTCCTTTCTGTTGGCTTTTATTCATTACTCCTTTTCCAGCCTCCCATTTTCTGGCACGTTAACTTTCTCTAAAAGTTACAATAGTTTATATTCTTGCATGTGTTTGCTATCAATGTCTTCAGAATACGTTTCTTCTTCAGTGTCATCCCTCAGGGAGAGACTCGTAAACCCTGTTGTCACCACAAGGGGTCAGCATCCCATGTCATCAGGTGAAGGTGGTTAGGATACAAGGTTAGTCACATGGGCTCCCGTAAGAACCACACTCTGGAGCCACCTCTCAATCTTGTACTAACAAGGAAAGCTGAGTCTAACAAGCCATGGAATAGGATGACTTGAGAATCCCAAGATCACAACATGGATAAAGGCTCGTGGCAGAAACTCCATGGGGAGAAAAAAAAATCATATCGTTCTTTGATCTGAAAATAGTCACTCACCCAAACATTTAGGGCAGCACTGTCCTGGGGGCGTGTGACTAAGGTGCTGGGGACAGGAGAGAATGGGACAGACTTCTCTCACACACTGTGTCCTGCCTCCCTAGGAAAAGAGAGAAAGAGAAAAAAAGGCACATTAGGCGAAGTTGGTAAATACAGGTGTACAACCGAGTCGTCAGCAGAGGGGTAGCTGCTCATGTCTGTATGGTTCCCCCCACATAACCCATCGTCTTCCCCAAGGGACACAGCAGTTTGTGACAACATAAAAACCTGTCTCAAAGGAGATGACCGGAGCATGCCCACCACCACCTTCCATTTTTCTTTTCCTTCATCAGCTATGGAGTAGGTTCGTGGCAACTGATGCAATCAGTTGGCACTGGATTTCCAACTTTCAGAGCTGAAACTAGAACCACTTCACCCTAACCAAGACCATCAGGCCACCCAAAAAGGGTGTCATCTCTCTTCCACTCCACCAAGCTAGCAATGGAGCCCTTTTTGGCGTTTAATAAGATTTCCTTACTACCTCCTCTCCATATCCTGCATCTTTTCAATAAGTCTGCAGGTCTCCCTGGCTGCCGTGGCTGGGTGTTGCTGGGCTAGCTCAAGGAGGTTTCAAACAGGGAAAGTGGCCAATCAGCCACAATGGATCCTCTGAAAGCCAACGCACAGACGACTCTATTCACCAAATTCGCCAGCCTAACCGAATCTGTTTCCATGAACTAATTATAAGCTTCTGATGACTGATCCTGGGAGAACTGGCTCAGCCTCAGCTGCCTACCACAGACGTTTTGGAGCAATCAAATATTTTCCTTGCTCCCTTGTTCTTTCTCTTGACTTTCATTCCTCCAGCACCCTTGACCTCTGACACGGAGTCGCTTCCTCTTTAACCTCAGCATGGCCCCCACGTTTCTCTGCCCTTCAGTAACTCTCTCCTCTCTGGAATGCAAAGACACAATCCGTTGGCTGTAACTGCATTTTCAGAAAGCACTTCTAGCCAACTTAAATCCTACAAACTCGCAAGGCAAAGGTTACACAATATGAATTACTCTGAACTCTATGAATAATTAAGTGTTGTTTTCCGTTCTTTTTTTTTTTTTTAAGAAAATGAGTCCGTTTGGTAAATAGATCACCAGACAGATGGAATTTCAGTGGACTGGCTGCTCTGGGAGTTATAAGCTAGAAACCAAAGACTTTCAGATACCTGCAGATAATTTATATCTCAGGAAGTCTCAGGAAATGAGGCACTCACACCTCAAAGAACCCCGGGCTGCACAAGACAGAAATTCGGCTTTAGGGGCTTCCTTCCCACCTTCCCCACCGCCGTCAGCAGCACCCATGGCCTGAGCCCCGATTCCATGCATCCTTATTCTCACATCTTCTTCCCTGTACCTTTTGCTTCTGCCTTACCCCTCCGTTCTTGCTGTGATGACAGCTGATCTTTTTTTTTTAATTTGGATGAATTAAAAGGGGAAAGTCAGTTGTATATCTTTTAAAATACGTTAGGTTTAAGCCTTTTTAATGTTGAATTCTTCCCCAAAGCAGAAGCAAGCATGCATTCTGGAAAATCTGTTTGTTTTACATCATTTCCAGATCAACAAGAATCATTAGAAAATCTTCCCCTACCACCCCCGGATTCCAGGTTGTTCTGAGAGTTTTCACTCAACCCTGCATAATCTTAAAGTTGGGGGTCTGTCATCAGATTCCAGAGGGCATAACCCTGAGGTCAGCCCCAGCTCTTACATGAAACACAGAAGGCAAACCCTAAGGGAGGACAGGACAGCTCTGCCCTTGGCTTTCAATTTCAAAGAAATTCATGGGCAAGCAACTTCCTACAATCCTGAAGGCTAAGGCGCCACAAGCATGCCTGTGTGTTGGCTTCGCATGGGGTGTACAGAGAACACAGTCTTTTCACCAGTATTCTCGGTTCTTACTGGATCGCAGTCTGAGTTTTTGGGCATATTTTAAAATTAAAATTTCAAAAAGTATTTCATAATTGTGAAAGAGTTAACCTGTCCAACACTTTGGGAAGCTGGCAAAAGATTAGGTACACACCAGTAATTTTCCTTACACTAAGGTCAAAGAGCAAATTTGCATACATAATACGAGTGCAGTTTGTGTTTCCCAAGAGCCCGTTAAAGTAACTTGAACACCAGTCTGGGTCTGCTGGTTTAGTGGAGTTTTATTTTGTTTGGGTTGCAGTATTGTGGCATAGCCCAAGTCCCGAGGCTGTATTCCAATTCCAATTAATGCCTCCAAAGAAAGTCCAGGCCTTTCCTTAGGAATACAGTTGCAGCGTACAACCTGCTTCTACAATTTCAACTCAGCAGGGACTCTGGTTAAACTATAATCTGTGACTAGGCTGTAAACTAAGAGGGTTAAAATAGCAGAAGTAAACATTTCTGGTTCAAAAAAAAAAAAAAAAGAATGAATTCCCACTGAAACCACACCAACTTGAGCTCTAGGTTATCCCAACTGCTTCCTAATTGGCTTCACTGCTGCAGATCTCTTCCACCAACCTCTCTTATATGGTCTGATACAGACGCTTTTCCAGCATCCATCATTCCATTATTTTGTCAAACATTTTTTTCAGGTCCTTCCAGTCAATAAAATGATGAGAATACATCAATGAATAATATATGCAATATTCATTCCCTCTAAGAAGCCTAAATTGGGGCTGGCACTGTGGCATAGCAAGCCATTGCCCAAAGTGCCAACATCACATAGGGGTGGTAGTTTGAGTTTATGCACCTCCACCTCCAATCTGGCTCTCTACTAATGTGCCTTAGAAGGCAGTGGAGGATGGTCCAAGTGCTTGGGCCTCTATACACATGCAGGAGATGTGGAGAACCCCTTGACTCCTGGCTTAGGAATGGCCAGCTCCAACTGTTGTAGCCATTTGTGAAACGAACCAGTGGATGAAAGATATCTCTCTCTCTCTCAACTCTGCCTTTAAAATAAATAAATAATACTATAGGAGGAATAAGAGTGGAAGAAGGAAGAGGAGGAAGAGAAGTGTATATTATCTCAGATGGCCATCCCTACTAAAGCTAAGAATGACTTATCCCTAAACTCAAGATAAAGTTCAACTCACTCTGGCCAAAGTTAATGCAAGGAGACTGTGCTCCCAACAATCAGCTTCCTTTTCCTCTCATAGATAGATCTTTACTGCATTTCCCAGATTCCTCTGTAGTCATGGGCAGGACACATGACTAGGTTCTGACACAATGAAGTAGACGAAAAATGACATAACACCCTTCCTGGCCTGACAAGCAAAAATATCTCACAATTCTCTATGTTCTCATTTATTGTCTGTACTGGGTAGATGGCCAAATGAATGGAGTAAGAATTGAGAACTGAAGAACTTCACAGAAAAAGAAAGAGCTCAGTTCTCTGAGTCATTTCATGAGAGGCTCTTCATAAGATCCTTGCAAATGAACTAGGAAACAGCAAGAAACAAACCTGGTCACATAATTTAGGTACAACAATTATTTATTATAATAGCTTACTTTATTAAGATTCCCATAATATCCTCAAGATACCCAATCTTTTCCCCTATTCCAACAAGTTCAACACCAAGAGGATCCAATGTGTCTTATTCTTTGTTTGTCCCCAAACACATCATGCCTTCCATCTTCTTTTCCTCCCCCATCTACCATTTAACACCTATCAAAATCCTGCCATTTCAGGTCTGTCTCAAGCCTACTCTTATCCATAAGGTCATCCAGCATCTGTTGGTTTCCAGCGACCCCCTCCATCTTCACTTCTCTCTTTTCCTCCCCATCTTCTCCTATCTTGTGAGCATATACATAATGTTTAGTGTGTACATAAAAACTTTATCTTGCAAGGAGACCTTGGTTTTTGTGGGCTTTTTTTTTTTTGTGGGGCTGTTGTTGTTGTTTTTACATAAGTTGGACTGTTTTATAGGCATAAACCAATAACACATACATGATACCTTTCAGAGAAGGGAGGGTTCAAAGATAATTCCTCAACTAAAAACAAATGAATGTCTGGAAGAGATGCTGCACACAGTGAGTTGCAGTGCCTAGATAACTTTTCAGGTCACTGTAGCTAAAGGATATTGAATGCAGGGCTGCCAGCCTTCACTATCTCACCATCTCCTTGAGTTTTACACATTCTAGTCATGGGTAATGCACATTTTAGGTACTAACAGAAAGTGTGTTGGTGCTGATACATCAGAAATCACATTTAACATTAACATGTCATGCTTGTAGAACTGTTCTCAGCATAATTGAAAATCTTTGTATTTTATTAAGTGCTTAAAATAAATCAGTACAAATTAGCATCTTATTTGGATGATAAGGAAAGGAATGCTAGAAACATCCACAATAGCTTGTATGTTACAATTTTCAGCATTTGCCTCTTCTTGACGGACCAGTTTGTTCTCTGGAGATGATCATCTGTTCTAAGTGAATATCCAAGTGTCTCTCTGCCAGTAGTTGCTTTCAAAAAGAAAATCTGGAATCTCTCCTAAGTCTATTTTCTGTCCTCTTATTTTCCTTTTACCCAATTCGGTGAAGAATATAGTTGCTTTGTGTAGAAGCTGTCTTCCCTTGAGCAGCAATTTCCCTGAAAAATAGAAACCTATCTTCCTGAATACAATGATAAGTGCAAGATGCTAAAACAATAGCCAGGCACATACGGGATATTTCTCCATCCCCTGAGAAACAACTAAGAATCAGGGCCTGGGAAACACCCTGGAGCATGTGACAGGATTCTCACCCATAGACCCTGATGCTGCAAAGAGTAGCCCACTGCTAAGAAGCTACTATGAATCAGCTACACTCTACCACATTCTAGAAACATATCTTTTTCTTAGGCCCAATTATTTGAAAATAATAGAGTTCTCTTATTGATTTTGAAATGAATGTAAAAAGAAGAGAGGTACTACGCTAGAGGAGAAATAAATCTTGAGTGCCAAAGGCTTATGTGTGGTCCATAAATCTTATATTACAACAGTCAGTGATGCAAAGCTGATTTGTGAGCACAGCAACCACTCTGAATTACAAATTGGGTCAAAAAAAAAAACTTCATAGAAAGAGATGGATGTCCTCTAGCATGCCTCTGCTTTGGCTTGAAACTTTATTTTGGTAAAGTTTCAGATCATGACACTTAACTCCCAAGAGGAAAGATCTTGGTGTTTGATTTGACTTGTTCTTGGTTAGCACAGAAGAGGAAGGAAAACTAAGCAGCACTCAGAGCAGAAGAGGGCATCAGGCGAGCTACTGGACATGGGGAGTAAAAGCAGGGGTGGGCATCTGATGACGTGGTTGAGATGCCAACTTCCCATTTCAGAGTGCCTGCGTCTGAAGCCTGGCTCCACTCCCACATCTACCTTCCTGCCAGTGCCACCCTGGGAGACATCTGGTGACAGTTCAAACAGTCATTACCACACCCATGTGGAAGACCTAGACTGAGTTCTCAGTTCCTGGCTTGGCTTCAGTTTAGCGTAGCCTCAACTGATGCAGACACTTCGAAAGTAAGGAAGTGCTTTCTTTATCGTTCCCCCTTCTCCATCTCGACCTCTCCCTCAGTATCTCAAAAATAAAGAGGGGAGAAAAAAGAAAAAGAAAAAAAAACAGAGTAGACAAGCCCTGTGGCTGGCTGGGTCCACTGATGACTTTTAACAAAGCCCCGCAGGAAGCCCTGTGGGCTGATGTCACTCTGCATAGAGACCAAAGCACTGAACCTTAAGGAGGCTGCACAGAAAGCTTGCCACTGGCCAAGTGCCGGGACTGAAATATGAACTCAATTCTGTGATGGTTGCCATTTTTGGTGCCAATGTGACTGAACTAAGGGCTGTCTACAGAACTGGCAAATTCTACTTCAAGGCGAATCTGTGTGGGTGGCTCCAGGAAAGAACCCTGTATAGGTCAGGGAACCAAGTGAAGATTCTCATACAGAAATCAGGCATTGTACTTTCATTCAAGCTGTGATTAAGCTCTTGTCTCAACCTCAGAACCAGCCATGTTCTGTTGTCTGGAGATGGGGCGGGGACTCTGTAAACCCTATCTCCTCTCACTTTGCTGGCTGCCTCCCAGAAGTCAGAGTTACAGAGAGAGGAGGGGAGTAAAAGACTGAGACAGAAAGAAAAGGGAAGAGAACCATCAGCTGGTTCACCCCCAAAATGGCTGCAACAGCCAGGGCCAAACTAGGCCAGACTTGAACCATTGTCCATATGGACTCGGGTGCTACAGATGGCAGATTAACTGCCCCAGCACAGCTCAGCCCTGCTCTGGTTGTATGCTCACACACAGAAACACAGAACTTGGACCAAATCTACTGGGGGACCTCTCTCCAAGCCTCGTTGGGTCTCTCAATCTTCACAACATAATCTGGGGATCCTCACCCACACCACAGAACCTTGATGTAGAAAATCGTATTTTTAATGACTTTTCCAGGGGAGTCTGCGGCACTTGTCTGAGGTGCTGCGTCTTCCAATTTGCCTCACCAGCCCAAGCTCCCTGGGGACTGCTGGAAGGCCGGAGTCCCCACTTCAGAGCTCTGACAGGCATGCAATTGTGTGTCTTGAAGTATGAAGCTCATTGTTCAGGTGGAATGCTTTTCACTGAGCTAAAAACACAGGCCCTCGCTCCTTCCGCTGACAGCTGCAGGCCACTTTCTTCAGGCTTGTAAAGGAAAAGGTCAGGGAGAAGCAAAGTGGAGGTGGAACTGGGTCTGACACGGATGTTGAAACCAGGAGCTGCTTTACGGTCTCAGTCTGTGCAGAGTCTGACAGCTTTTCAGAAATGGAATATGATGGCTACACTTGGATTTCCATTTCTGAGAAATAAAATAAAACTCAACTTTGGTTCTACACATACAGACTCTAGAACATATCAGCGGCCTTGATCAAGCTATCTATTTCCCCCTAAAAGTCCTAAAGAAATGATGGTCCCTGAGAAGGAACCGTAGGGCTACCAATGCAACAAAACCCCTTTTGTACTTCACTGCGGATCCAGAGAAGCATGAACTGATGCTCTGTCTTGAGAATTAAGTCTGCAGTAAATCCCTTTTAATTTTCCTAATGATCAAGCTTGCTATGTCAGATGATACTGTTTTTGATATCACTGTTTTACTTTCCTACAACAGCCATAACGGGTGACCACACAAAACTGTGACCACACAACAACATTCACATGTTGTCTATAGCTCTGGCCATCAGAAGTTGGACATTATTTCCCCTGGACTGAAATCAAGGTGTTAAGCAAGCTGTGCTGCTTCGGGAGGTTTGGGGCAGGAAGGTGGGGTTTACTTCCAGGCCTTTTCTGCTTCCAGATGTGGCAGTCTTCCTGCGTTCACTGCCTTTCCCTCCAGCTTTAAAGCCAGCAGCAGAGCATCGTCACTTTAAAAATATATTTCCTTACTTTAAAGCTAGAGAGATACAGATATACAGACACAGGGGTAGGGGCAGAGAAAGTGAAAGAGAGAGCGAGAAACAGAGATCTCTCATGTGCGGGTTCACTCCCCAAATGCCCACAACCACCAAGACTGGATCAGGCAAAAGCCACAACTGAGGAGCTCAAGCCAGGTCTTACAACCAGGTGGCAAAAACTCAAGTGCTTAAGCCATCAGCTGCTAATGTCCACAGTGTATATTAGCAGGAGCGTGGACTGAGGAGCACAGACGGGACTCAAACCCAGGCACTAAGCTACGGGCTGTGGTATGCCAAGGGGCGTCTTACCACCAGGTCAAACACCTGCACTGTCTCCGAATCCCTCTGACTTGGGCCCTCTACTCTATTACCACTTTGTCCCCTCTGACTCCCACAATCTTGCCTCCCCTCTCTAAGAACTCTTGCAAGAGAATTCACCCAGGTCAGCCAAAACGATGCCCTGTCATTTTGACTGCAAAAATCCTTAACTTAATCATATCTGCAAAATCCCTTTTATCAGGTAAGGTCAGTTTCGCAGATTCTGGGAATTAGGACATGGACAACTTGGGGTCAAGGGAGACATTCATCTGCCTACCACAATTATTGGTTAGGGAACAATGTCTAATTTCTCTGGTTAGTTCCAGCCACAGTATTTTAGGCCTAACATTTAAAACACACACCAAAATAATCTGTTCTATTACCCTTCCCCTCACTGAAAAAAAACCTAGTGCTTCCAGTCTTTTCCATAAAAAAAAAAAAAGACATCCAAGAGACTCATTGTGAATTCTGTTCATAAGGACTGTGAATTGACCAAGTTCACATCTACTAGCTTGTCTTTACTGTGCCCAGTTCTGCTTAGAAAGAGAAACCTAAAGCTGATCATCTGACCTTCTCATCTTATTCAATCTTTTATTGTTGTCACAGGCAGGTCAAAAGTGCTGAGGCACAGCCTCGGGAGCAATTATTAAGGGGGTATTAATGAAGGACGAAAGCTTCTTGGAAGCCACTGTGTCTCCAGCACTTTGCCAGGCCTGCTGGACAGGACTGACCCTGTAAACTCAAATCCCCACTATGCTGCAAGACTGGGCTGGTCACATTCTGGCCCATGACAGCAAGCCTTAAGTGACTTCAATGTCCTCTCATGGTCAGACAGAAGCCTCCCAAAGACTTTTGACGGTGCTCACCATATTCCAAGATTCTTGTGGTAAATCATACAAAACTGCCTGCCCTGGTCTCCACGGGGGGATTGCATAGCTCACACTCTGACACTCGAGCCTGTAGATAGCCCAGCTAGAAGCTGTCTTTCAACAGCTACAACAATCAACAGGCCCAGCCCAGCTTTGGAGACAGCATTGAACTTCAAGTGCACACAGGGACAGAGCGAACGGAAATAATTTTGTGAAGTAAATATCAAGTGAATAAATACAGAAGGGGTGGAAATGTCTTTATTACTGTTTCATGAATCTGTTTGTGTGTTGCTTGAGAAAAGACAGGTAGAAAAGAAGGAAATCTCCCCCACCCACTGACTGCTTCACTCCCCAGATGTTCCCAAGAGCCAGTTGGAAAGTGACACTAAGAACCGTGAACAAAATCCAGGCGCTCCCGTGTGGTTGCAGAGATCTGTGACTTCTGCCTCCCAGGGTTTGCAG